GCCTAACCATGCGCGCGCGCACAAATGAGAGAATGACATCTGTAAATGCAATATATCTATTGAAATATCTCCAATAAACTTATATAATTGTGTTGACTTTTTTTGAATTCTGAAAGGAGGTTTTTTTTCATATGTATTCTGAGAGGATGAATTTTACTTCCTCGACTTCAAATTAAATGTTCTGGTTGGTTTTTGTGATGGTTGATGATTCATATTAATCAGATATGAGTAACTAATTTAGAATTTTTATCTATGCACTGAGAAGGGAATAATTTTTTTGCCACCATTCTACTAGAACTACTGAATAATTTGTTGCTAGTTGAATAGGTCAATGCCCGGGGCAATGTTATGCAGTCATTATTTTACTTCATTGTTGGATGAATTCTGCCTCAAAAAAAAAAAAAAAATTAAAAATTTGGGATTAGTTCCTATGTTGTTATGACAAATTTCTTTGTTATTTTCACTTTTGTCAAAAATGATGGATGCAATTCACTTTACTGCTTATGATCTTGAAAGAAAATGTTATAAATTCCTTACTGTTCCAATAATATTTTTGTTAATATATTTTACTAATTGGCCGGGATTGTTATGTTAGTCAACACCAGTTTGAATAAAGGGACTGCCTACTCTTGTGAAATTTATGGTGTTTTTACCCCCAAAAGATTTATTTCCTATAAAGCTAGGTTCTTCACTCTTGTTCTTCTGAATTTGGATTAGAACTTAGGAGTAAACAGGGAGATTGATTTTAATAAAATAGAAAGAGTGATAAAATAAGATGATAAAATGACTTATTTTGGGTAGTACATTCATATGAAACTCCAAGGAAAAGCAATATTTTGTTTTAAGAATGAAAGATGGAATAGTTTTCTAACCATTGTAAAGAGCACAACAATGTGTGGTTTTGCAATATAAGTATACTGTATACCTTATACAATTCTATGCCCATCGGCCCCATCCATGCTCTTTTGCTTACATACTTCTGTAAAACTTTTAGGCTCAACAAGGAGAGGTTGCAATGGTTACAGATCTTGGGACTCCGGCCTACAAATTTGAATTATCTTCTGCTGTTCCATCTGTTGGCATGGTGAGTATATTTCATTACATGATTTCTTTAATATGCTTGTGTTTTTTAAATTGAGCAAGATGCTGCAATTTATCCTCTTGATATCTATTTGTATTTTGCCTTAGTAATGAGACGAAAGACCTTCGACTCTTCTTAACTTTAATACTAGATCTTTTCAAAAGTTTATGGACTTTATATGTAAATTGTCATACTTATCGTGCTACATGATGAAGTTTACATCTCAAGCATCTTTTATGTTGTCGTTCTTTTTATTTCTGTCATTCTACTTGCCTTCGTGCATTACTGTATATTCTCTTCTTTTCATTCTAAAATATGACCAGGGGAATTTAAGTTTTCATACTACATTATGTCCTTTTCGGTGCTGCAGCCAAGAGCAACCTTGAAATTTCCTCTTGGCGAAGTTTCATTTGAGGAGAGAGAGGAGGATGAAGAAGAGAAACAGAAAAGAACTCTATCAGTAAATGGGATTGTTAAAAGCCATATTCTGAATGGAGTTTGTACTGCTCGATACCATGAAGAAAATTTGAATTTAAGATATGCATACAAGGTAGGTTCTTCCTGACATCCTTTCCACAAAGGATGTTATTCCTGCTTTCTTTTCTCGTTGACTTTGGCAAATATTTATTATCATGGTTTATCTGACAATTGTTTTAGGATCTTTTGACAATTTTCCCCTTTCGTGTTTGTTTTCAGAGATTCGTTCCATCTTAATTTACCCATCTGACTTTTATCAACTTTGCTTATTTTGTTGATTAAGATTGTTCTTTTATGCATTCTTTTAAGTTAAACTATTATCATCCTAAAAACAGATTTCCTGGTGAGTTTATTTAAGGAATCTATTTGTTGTAGGATGAGCAATTAACATTCATTCCAAGCATTTCTCTGCCTTCAAATGCACTGTCATGTGCATTTAAACGGAGATACAGTCCTTCAGACAAGTTGAGGTGATCTCTCTGTCCCTTCTCTCTGCCAACTCTTAGGTACAACAATGAAAATTTGTTTCAGTTCCATTAAGATGTCTAACATAAATTTTTGATGCTCGACATCCTGGAAGAGCCTTTTAAGATATATTTTTTTTTCATGGAACTATCATGGTAAACTACGTTCTGTTGACCAGACGAAAGGTAGTGACCATAAACTTTATATATTTGTGTTATCAGTTACTGGTACTACTTTGACTCAAACAATTGGAGCGCCGTGTATAAACACACGGCTGGGAAGGACTACAAATTTAAAACTGGTTATGATTCTGAGGTGCGACTTGGATGGGCGTCTCTCTGGGTAAGTTTCTAATTCTATTATACTTAACTTCACATTCTCGTTTTTGTGCTGCAATTTGCTCAGTCCGTTAATTTTTCATGTCTAATGACATGGACCGGACAAATCCCAAACCCTACTCACGGTGCCTGCATTTTGACTCGACTCTTTCTGAATTTCGTTGAAACTAAGATGCTGCTTTATCCGGGATTTCTTTCTACATTTGTGCAATCATTCCCCAAGGAAAAATCAAATCCAATAATCTAATTACCCCTTAAGAGTTTGCCAAGCAAGAGTCTGTTGTCCTGTTGTTAATGACTGCAATGAATGTATGAAACATCAATTAGGAACTTCTAGCCGTCGAATCAGCATGGTTGAACTTACAGATACTTCTTGAATTTGTTAGTTTTCAATAGAAATGATGAAAGCTTTTCAGAGTTTGTGATAAGGAATTATCTGATATTGGGGAAGTGGTGCACAAAAATCTGGCCAAATGCCCAAAGAATTTCATCTATTTCACAGGTACAGGTGGAAAATGTAGAGGAAACCAAAGTTGAATATGATTGAAGCTTTGGAGCCCCTTTTTTAAATGTATATACTGTCATAGATATAAAGATCTTTCAATAAGATTCGCTTTCTTTAAATTGAACAACTGATGCGATGTCATGGATCTATTTTTCCTTTTTCTCTTTTTTATCAACCCACACACGGGGTAAAAGTAACAGTGGTCAATAAAACGCCTAGTGAAATTTCGTTTTCGTCACTAAACTTCATTTTATTTCGATTTGATTGTTTAACTTAAAGGCACACAACAATTTGTTCAGGGATAATTTGTTCATTCCGTCCATGTATATTAGTTCGACTGACAGAAAAGGTGAGTCAGTCAAACTAAAGGACATTACAGGAGTAACCAATGTGAAACAAAGTTTGAGTTTAAGCAGAGAATTTGACTTGTGTTTTTGATAAACAAAATTCTGATGTGTAATAAACAATATGGTTCCAGGTTGGAGATGAAGATGGCAAAGCAAAGACATCTCCCATGAAGATGAAAGTGCAATTCATGCTCCAAGTTCCACAAGATGATATCAAATCTTCTGTTTTAATGTTTCGCGTCAAGAAGAGGTGGGACATATGATTCTGTAATAATCAGGGTGCCTTGCCATATTTTCCATTTGCTCCGTGTTGTAATTACCTGAAATAATTTATTTCTCTGTTTTTTCTTCGACTTCTGTTAGAAGAACTTTCTCCAGTCCTAGCAATTTTCCATTTGCATATTTTGATAGTAATTTATGTGTATCATTGCATATTTTAGGATTGTTATATTAACTGTTCAGTTTTTATTTGTTGCACCATATTTTAATTGTACTTGAGTTTCTCAATCTTTGTTCATTATAATATCTTTTAACCTTTTTTTTTTCATCGAATTATTATCTTTAACATTCCATTAATTTGCGTGTATTTATTGATTTCTAAAAATATGATGAGTAAATAAGTATTTTTTATGTCCTCTCAACGGACATTTTGGATGGAACTGTTATCAGAAGTGAGATGTGTTAATTAATTGAATAAAAAACTTAAGACTAAAGTATAATTAAAATTTAGTGCAAGAAATAAAAATTATGGGTGATATAATATAATTATCTTATCTTTTAGTCATCCTAGCAACTTAAAAATTATTTAAATTATACTTCCTATTTGAACATTGATAATTATTATTTTTATTTAAATTCATGATTTAAATGATGTTTCTTTGTTTTGATTTTAAACTCAACTTCTATCGTGAACCAAACGGCACCATGACAGCATGTAGCATGTTTGATGAAGCTCGAAAAGCTTGCCTAATGGTAAATTAATTATAACACTAATTTGTAGAATAAAAGTTCTTTGGATTAATCCATTTGTACATAACTATTCACTTTACAGAATACTTACACCATTTCACATGAGGGTGGGTCCCACGTAATAAAAAAAAAAGAGAAAAAAAATTACACACGCACCTTGTGAGTATTTGTAGGTTTTCTGTATCTGTATGTGTAGTGCCAATTTTTTTACGACTCTATTTGTAGAGATTCTTCAAACTCATTTTTAAAAAAATTCATTTTCAACATTCTTTCAATAAAATATTATTGTATCTTGGGGCAGATGTACTTGAGTCAGCGAGTTGATCTAGCCAATATGTGCTTAATGGCCGCTCTTTCATGGAATGAAGTTGCTACAGATACAAAAGATAAAATTCGAGCACTTACAGTGAAGGATCCTGCAACGGAGTACTTAGTCGACCTCATCATGTAGCGTAAGACTTTGTCAGTTCGGTCTAGACGAGGGACTTTTGTGGGTGGGGATTGGAGGAGATCCTTGATCAAAGACGCAAATGATGGATGAAATGTGAGGACTGGCCTAAGTATGTCACAGGTTAAAATGGCATCATCTTCCATCTTTGTTCAAGTTTCTAAGCATCCTAAAAAGAAGTATGGTCTCACAGAATTGGTTACCAATTGACATTTTAAGAAGAAACATATTGAACAACATGCATGGTTTATTGCAATCTGAATGAGAAATTGTGTTCACCACAAATGCTCAGTGTGTGCTTGTGGAGAATTTACAAATTCAGATCCTAAAATAACAAATGAATAAAGGTGAAATCTTGAAGCTGTAAACTTTAAGGTAATAAATTTCTAAGCTCCTCGGCGAATGTCGTTACAAAGGAATCGATGCTAATCTTTGGTCTGGACAAACCAATCTCTATGCCTCCCTCAGGTTCCCTGGATTTGCAGATGGATATGGCTCCATCACCATCAATAAAAAGAGCTTCAAATTTCTTCGGCAGTCCCCATCCATAATCTACACTGTAGAAATCAAATCTTGGAGATCCCGCCACCGAAAATTGCCGCTTTCCGATCAATTCTTCGAACTGGGCAGGCCAATTGTGGGCATCATGCAATATTCCCTTCTCATTAAACACCGTTCGGGCAATGGCCTGTCCAATTGATTCTGTTGCAATCAGAAACCCATCATTTCCCTTCAATTTTCCATGACTCGATTTCGCCTCCAGTACAGGTGCTACGCAATTGCCAAAGTATGTAGCTGGCAAGGGGGGATTCAATCGCGACCTACAATCTGCCACGAAATTGAAATGCTCCACCTCATCATCAGCCACCACCTCCCCGGATTCTGTGGCAGATTTTGCTAAACAAATCCACACAAGGGCGCATACGACCGTGAAAGAGGATACATGGGTTACTGATTTCCGCTCGGACAAAACTAGTTTTTTCAGCTTTTGGACATCTTCTTCCCTGAGGACAAATGTTGCCCGGAATTTATTGGTTGGCGGGTTTATGAGCGGAGGCTCCAAAGAGTCACAAAACTTCAATATTAGGTCCCAATATACTGAATCCAGTCCATTAAGATCTCGAACATTTGTTCTGTCAAATAATGGCAGCGAACAGTATTGAATATCTCCATTGAATCTGTTGATTGAAGCCCATGACTGTATAAAAGATACGACTGTACTTGCATCCCCAATAGCGTGATGGTTGGTGAATCCAAAACATACGCCATATTCTGGAAATACAGTTACTTGCAAAGCCAAGACCGGAACTCGAATGGAGTCAGAAGAACGGGTTGCCGGTGGCAATTGAGGGACATAAGAATAGAATTCACGAGAATCCCTTGGATGATTTCCAGTAAGGTCATTGAAATCAGCACTGGATTCAGCAATTGTTAAAGAAACAGAATCCCCAACAGCGTAAAGAGAAATGGGCATGCCGGAGATTAAAGGGTGGATTATCTTGCCAGCTAGTGGAAGAAAATGCTTGAGAGTGAGGGAGAGAGATTGTTTGAGCTTGGGAACAATGGTGTCTAAGAAATGGAACTTGGAAATGGGAGAATCAAAGAAGAGAACACTTTGATTAGGAGGAAAATCCCACCATATCAAATCGAAAAATACAATAGGGAGTGAAAACTCAGGAGTTGCATCGGGTGGCGGGGTAACTTGACAGTGCTCAAGAACGGTGGTTGCCATGGCCGTCAGGGCTTGAGGTTTTTGCTTCTACTGACTTATTTAAATCAATAAAAATAATTGAATTTTATATAATTACCATAAGATTATTATATTTAGGGTCCGTTTGATTGCAAAGTTGGAAAATGGGTGGAAAGAAAATATTTTACAGGGAATTGATTTTCCTAGAAAATGTTTTACTGGGAATGGTAATTAATTGTGTTTGATTG